AGAAACAGTGTGGCCATCAGGACTACAGAAGTGATCATGACTCTCTACTCTTTTCACAGGACAAGCGCTACCCCAGTGTTTATATACCTGCCTGCTGTGGGATGCCTGGTGCTAACTGCCTGCTGCTTTTCTCTTGCTTTCATGAAGTTCAGAATGCAGAAATGCATTTAAAACAGCCAGTTTTGCTGATAGCACTGTAACAGCCAGAAACAGGATAGCCAAGTTTTAATCAGAATTTGCAAGTAGTAATCAAACACAAGAAGCTTCAAAACCAATTAACACTTAGGAGCTATTTCATTTTGAAATATCAAACCTCTTCAGGTTTATTGCTAGAATTTTTTTTTTTTTAAAGAATTTATTGCTAGAATCTCCATGCACTCAAATAAAGGCATCCCTGAGAAGTTTTACCTAGATACTAGACACACATCTTATCCAGGCACTAAGTAGTCAGTACCCTTTAATGATACAGAAGCTTTTACTTACTTCGTTCGCTGAAGCAGAAGCACAGACATTGTGAGTTTTCTGGCTTCCAGTATCTGTCTGTCTTTCTCCCCACCCATACAGAGCAAATGGATGTTTATTCTCCTTTGGTGCATCTGTCTTTTGAGGACTTTTCGCTGATCTTCGATCGTTACGACTGGACAAGGCACTTCGACTCGGACGTCGTCCTGTACGGCTGGTTTTGTCTACTTCCTTTACAGAAGTGTGTTCTACAGTTTTTTCTTGCTCTTCCCTCTGCTGCTTTTCTTGATCTTCTCTTTCTTTCTCTAAAGAAAAAAAGAAAGTTATGCTCTAAGCTCCCAAAGACAACATATTAATGACTGATTTGCACAGCCTCTCAATGCGTCAAAGCTGTGATTTTTGTTTTAAGAAATGGAAGAAGTCATTACTTCCTTAGCAACAGATGTATACCTTGCTTAAATGCCTTCATTCTTTCTTTAGTGACTACAATATTTCCAATATTTCTGTACATCAGCTTTCACATACTTAAACATGCCTTTCACTAGTGAGGCTGCAGATAACCAATAGCTCCAGGCAGTATTTTAAAGACTGTTTCCAGTGATCTTCTGTCTTCACTATGTCATCCTTCCATCTTTCAGACAGTAAACAGATGGACTGCTGAATACACGTAGATGCTGCCAGCCAGTCAAGAGATGAAGTCTGATAAGATTATGTGCAATATTAAATCCCCCACATTATAAGCTTCCACTGACAAGAGAAGTGTGATTAATTTTCAAGCTCCCTGATTATGCATACATCTTGATTACAGTTTTCTGTTTATGGAGGAGAGGGGAGTATGAAGCAAGGCCTTACAAAGTGATAGACATCGCCCTTGCTATCTGTTCTGTGAAGTGTGTTTTACATTTAAAGGACCACACTCTACAGGCAATACTCTCCGAGGCTCCTTTCCCCCACACATGCTTTTTCAACCTTCCATAGGAAGGGTCCAGCATTTGTCCTCCAGGCACTGGGTACGTAGAGTAGGGTTTCTGAGAGAAAATTTAAAGTCCGTATCATTATTTGCAGGTGTAGACCGACACTGAAGGCTGAATCAGCATTATATAAGACATTAAATAATAAAAACACAGGGAAAGAACTGTTGTATAAGATCCAATTTTCTTGCATTATAGAGCTATGGAGGAACTAGTTGTCCTTTGTTTGTGGTGCCTCACAGCTATCAGTTCTTGACATTTCCTGCATACTACTACTTGTATACAAAGTTTGCATCTTAGACTTAAGGTGAAGGAAGCCAGTATCTGGTATAGCACTGCAATACTTCATAAATCTAATAGAAAGGCTGGTAAGAAAGTAAGAAAGGCTGTAAGTAAGCCTTACAATAAGGTTAGAAGTTGTTTTGAACAAGTCTTTTATAACATCCTTAAATATAGTCAAGTGAATGCACATGGATAACAATTACTGACTGGAAAAGAAAGGCCAAAGCTTTTTCCCACCTTCGAGATCTGTAAGGTGTTACAAACTGGTCACAGGAGTCTTGAACTATTCTGTTAATACTAATCTAATACCTTTATCAATGATCTGGATGAGGGGATCAAGTGCA